TTTTAATGGTTCTGTGAGGCACCTAAATTTCTACCCCAGTTTCATTTTAGGACCTGCTGCAAGAAAAGTTTAAGAAACCTTATCCTGGTGTTTTCCACATAAAAGGCCTGCCCTGTTCCTGTTCCTCCCTTTCGATCCTATGCAGAAGAATTACATTGAGGGCTGTAACTCAAATTTCTGGTATTCTGAGAATACATTTGGAGAATGTACCGATTAGAATCACGAAACTTGAATATAAACATGCCATCCTCAGATGTATCATGCCAAGCATCATGTTACAAAGCTTAACTAATCTGAAGACTAAGTGATACTTAGCATCTTTAAAAATTACAAATCTCTGCTTTTCTTGTGTCTTTTTCAGGCCATACCCATTTGTTTTGTTTTACTCCAAATTCCATGGGCTAGAAATGTGTGTTGATGCAAGGACTTTTGGAAATGAAGCTCGATTCATCAGGCGTTCATGTACGCCAAATGCAGAGGTGAGCACATACCAAAGTTAAATTAGGTTTTATATACTTAAAGTCCCCTTTTCTTTGGGTTTCCCAACTGTAAACCAAACTTAAAATCCCTGTGATTTTTATACATGTTCTTTTAAAAAGAAAAAAATCATAATATAGTGATGTTCTCTTGAATATAGGTGAGGCATGTAATTGAAGATGGAACAATTCATCTTTATATTTACTCCATCCATAACATTCCAAAGGGAGCAGAGATTACTATAGCATTTGATTTTGATTATGGAAATTGGTAAGTATTTGAACATACTGTTCTAAAATATATCTAGTGCTTACTAAGTTACATTATGATTCAGAGTGGCTTTGTTTTTATATAATTTCTTGCCTGCTTTAATAACATAGGGCTCCTTAAGCACTGTATTTACAAGGAACAGTGTATGTGTGGGCATGGTTTCTTCTCTACTTTTATTACTGCATATCCGCTAATTTCAGCAGTGTTGCAGTTATTTACAAATGATGTGGAAAAGATGCAAACTTAGATGAATATGAAAAAAGATGTACTATGAAAACATATTGTGTATAGGTGTCCCATGGTGTGGGGAGAGTAGAGGGTTGAGAATGTAGAGCTATTTGGTAATGCCCTATTTATTTCAGAGTGCCTCTGTAGTACAGTGTCTGTGGAATTTAGTTATAAATCATGTTAGTTTAATGTATGATTAAGAGTGCTGCAATACACTGAATGCTTAGATTCTGTAACCTGTTATACATTTTCCTGAATATAATTGCTGCTCCTCTGAACTGGGGAAAGCTCTAATAACTGTTGCCATTATCTGTGTGCATTGTTTTGAAATGTAAAACAAATAATAGGTTAAATGCCATTCACATGTTAGGAACTGTTATTCAAACAGCTCTTTGAAATCTGATGGCAAAATAAGGTCTTTGAGTGATACAGTCTTGCTGTATGCAAAGAGGTTTGGTAAATGGCTCATTGTCCAGTTGGAGACCAGTAACGAGTGGTGTCCCTCAGGGGTAGGTGTTGGGGCCTGTCCTGTTCAATATATTTGTTGGTGATACGGACAGTGAGATTGATGCACGCTCAGCAAGTTTGCCGACGACACCAAGCTGTGTGGCTGGGTTGATAAACTGGAGGGAAGGGATGCCATCCAGAGGGACCTTGACATGCTTGTGAGGTGGGCCGATGCCAACCTCATGAAGTATAACCAAGCCAAGTGCAAGGTCCTTCATCTGGGTTGGGGCAACCCCAGGCACAGCTACA